TGTTGCCACCTATATATGTAACAATGCCCAAAATGGCTGCGTATGAGTGCCAATTATAGTTTTGGGTTTTAAGAAAAGCCAATAATGCCCAATGCTTGTTACGTGGTAATACGACTACTTGGAATCGTACTTTTAATATAAGGCAACATTATTTGTCATGGTAAAAAAGTCAAACTGCCGAACTGTGTAAACCAATTTAAAGTGTTTTGTAATGGGTTTTATGTATATATGTATGTACGATACGGCAATTTAATATATTTAGTATACTTTATTGAATACTGAGTTTTTTACAAAGTTTGGAAATTTTAAATTCGTGAATTTTGTTGTTGAATAAACTATCATTTTTTAAAACATTAGTTTAATGAAATTAAATTAAAAAAACTTTTCATGCGCGTACATATGTACTTATAAAAATTAATTTCATAATTCATTATTTGAAATTATTTCTTCATTATTTTTTTATTATACTAGCAATTACCCGGCGTGCTTCGCTGCGCCTTAAATGTATTTTTGTGTTGTAACTCTCCCCGTAAGCTCTTATGGCCTCATTTACAAAATATTTTTAAAGAACTTTATGAGCAATGATACACACATTAAATTTCTTATGTGCACCCTCCACACAGACCCCAATCACTTCTGAAAATTTCCATTTATGTGCACCCTCCACACAGACCCCAATCACCCCTGAAAATTTCATTGAAATCGGGCAAGCNTACTTATAAAAATTAATTTCATAATTCATTATTTGAAATTATTTCTTCATTATTTTTTTATTATATTTTATTATTTTCGTTTCATGTTCATAATACAAATTAAATATAAATTTGTAAGAGCGTTTTCTAACACGCGCAAAAAACGACGCTCTTTTGTACAATATAGAAAAGTGGCAACTGTTACTCAGCGCGATTCACGAATACCATGACAAAATGAGACTGTATTGGTGTGCCCATCGATGCTTTATAATATGTGACACGTAAAGTTAATAGGGACCTACGGAGAGAAAAAGTCGGTTTTCACTTTTTCATCGACTCTTATAGTAAACGGGCCACTCTTTCCAACGCAATAAATCGCAACTTTCTAGCTGCATTAGTTTTTTCACAATTTCACTTCAAAGTTAGGTACTTTCGCAAAAAAGTACAAAAAAATCAAATCTGACAAACTATTCTGAAATTAATCAAATTCGCTTGAAACTCGTTACTCGGGGGTTTCCGAACATCGGATTCGTAATCACTGACCTCGTTTTCGGGGTCAACGACATTTTTGAGTTCCACATTAATCCGAACAAGTTTTACATTTTTTCCGCCATATTGGATCCGCCATTTTGAATNGCGGTGTCAAAGACATTTTTGAGTTTCACATGAATACAAAAAAATTTTAAATTTTTCCGCCATTTTGAATTTTAAAAAATAAACATCGGATTCGTAATCAGCGACACCAAAAACCCCCGGGTAACGAGTTTCAAGCGATTCCGATCAATTTTTAAAAAAGTCATCCGCCATATTGGATCCGCTATTTTGAATTTTGGAAAATTAACATCGGATTTGTAAACAGCGACCCCGAAAGCCCCCGAGTAACGAGTTTCAATCCATTAAAACGTTCAGAAGCATAAAAATCAACTTGGTAAACTTCAAAGTCGTTTTTCTCGAAATCTTTTTTTCTGAGCGTAGGTCCCTTTTAACTTTACGTGTGAAATATACAGAATACATAATATACATGGTCGGCTAAAGACTACTTCAAATGAATAGATACTCAGATAGTACATGTATAAATACCTCGTATATGCGGAATCCAATACCACGTCATGTATTTACAATAAAAAAGGGATTTGGTAATTATTTTTCCATTACTGCTTACTTTATTAATTTAAGTTAAGATTAATAATAATAATCTTATGGCAAATAGGTTCAAGGGAAATACTATTCCACAGTTTTGAAAAATTCGGTTTTTCGCGCTTTTGTAAAATTTGTTTACCATCGTATACGCGGTACTGCGTTTGGCGTATACGAGGTACTTCGCGCTGAGTGACGATATAATTCAATACAGTCCAATTTTTAATTGTTTAATCTTAATTATAAAATATTTACAATGTGGTTGTTCACGCTGATTAGGTATTTCATTGATTCTTACAAAAAGAAGTTGGAAGCTGTGTACCTATGTACTTATTTAAAAACGTTATTTAGAGTCTGGTAATGTTAAAGATGTTAACATACATATGCACCTAATACGGGAAGCCTGATTTTCTAAAATATGTATTTATATTTATACTTATATACGAATGTATTTCATTTATTTTCAGCATAAAAAGGGTTTACTTTTCACAAATGCAAATAAAAACTGATTTTCTTTGGTTTGTATAATTTGTCTAAACGTACTATATAAAAGAATTTGTGATGACCTGAGTTGTTAATCTAATAAAAAATTGGTTATGTTTCCTTACTTTGGTAACCTTTTCGTCAAATCTTGGTTAGAAAGTTATTTGAGCGGCAGCAACACTGCTTTGGTCGAATCATTCGTGAAATGTTTCGTTTGTTTTGAACTCTGTGTATGGACATACTTGGATACATACATACATATGATTAGTTTGTTGTGTCAACCACATACTGCACATGACTTCGAACCCTGCAGCGGGTTCGGAGACAATTGTCGCTTTCGTACTAGTTACATTACTAGTTCCAATTGCATGTTATGCTCCTGGTAATAATTAATCGAGTTATTGGTTACATATTGCACTTTCTAAAGGTTATTGGCCGTTTTAATATAATAGTGCTCCCTTATTAAAGCATTTTGTTATTTATCATTTAAATACAAATAATAAATTTTGAATACTTATCTATGTTCTGTTTCCCTCGTGTGACCACCTAGCAAATATCGGACTGATAAGTACCAAAATCAAGCAATACATACGTAGATACCCCTTTTTACATAACTACTATTTCTTAAATTATTTTGGGGGCAATTCACGTCAAATGTCCCAGCGCCCTGAGCGGTGCAAAACAAGCTACTTTTCGACTAGCTGCGAAGCAGACAGAAAATAGGAAAAATAATTCGAAAACTATGATTTCTATAGATTTTTATACGGGCTATGCGATGGCACTATGCGTTTTCCAAAATTTTCCCGTTTTCATGGTGAAAATTCTGAACGAAAATTTATTTGTAATTTTTCTGAACTATGGTAATTTTTAATATTGTTTNCTTTTTCATGGTGAAAATTCCGAACGAAAATTTATTTGTAATTTTTCCGAATTATGGTCATTTTTAATATTGTTTTTAGTTATCTCAATCGAAAGATCAAGTCTTTTTACATATAAATCACTAATAAAAAAGGACTTTTTTTTCCTTTTCCGAGTTATAAAGCCTTTTAGAGCGCAGCGCCCTAATCTGCTAACCGTGTGAGTCATAGTAATATTGTTATAACTTTGCAACTACTTGATGTTTAATTCTTAAACTTTCGCAAAAAATTCCCTACATAGTCATCTACAACTCTGTTTTAAAACAAAAAATTTATTTCAAACTTTATAACACAGCTTTTGCATTTGAAAACAAACACCCTCTTAATTCTCATAAAAAAGTTATGAACCTGTAGTTTTATTTGTAGTGAGTATTAAGAAGTGGTGTTAAACTTAAATTCTTTGCAATAGTTTGTAGTTTATTGTGTGAAAATTTCAAATCGATCGATACACAAACGACTGAGATATAGCGCGTTAAAGTGACAATTTTGTTAAAATTATCAAGAATCAGTTCAGCCCAATAATAAAATTTCAAACAACGTCACGCTGCAGCTTTTGTACGTTCGATCACAGGAAAATAAATAGCAAAGACAATAGCAAAGACAAATTTAAATTTGAACAAATCGTCGCCTGGCTTGATTCAAAGCGAACATTTGAAAGCACACTTACATGTTGTGCCTGTAGCTGAGTGCGCAAAGATGCTGGCTGAATTAGTTGCGGCCGAAAGTGTTCGAGTTCAAATCTCACTACGCAGAACATACAATTTAAAATCTTTACTTTCGTTTTTTTTTAATTTTAAAAAAGCATCTGTGAAGTGCACAACGAAAAAAAGTGGCAGCGGGAGTCAATTGTCACCTCCTAGGACAACTCCATGTTAAATGCGACAGTAGAAAGCATGGCTGGTAGATTTGCAAGGTACCGGTATTCGACTCCCGAAAACTAGTGAACTCACTAGTTCTGTACTAGTATTTCCGCTGCAGGGGACTTTACACCCAAAAAACGGGTGATTATCTTCCAAGAATAAAAAATATAAGTAAGCCACTCTGCGTATTTTTACAAATGTTTCGTTTAAAAAAAAAAAATATTAAAATCGGTTTAGTACTTTGAGAAATAAGTCGTTACAAACCTACTCCATATAATCAGTTTTATATAATCGTATAGATATAGATATAGATATAGATATAGATATAGATATAGATATAGATATAGATATAGATATAGATAAGGATATAGATATAGATATAGATATAGATATAGATATAGATATAGATATAGATATAGATATAGATATAGATATAGATATAGATATAGATATAGTTAAAAAATAGTTGGTGGTAATTTCAAGTCCTCTAAACATTTATTTAGCCGTTAAAAACTTTACAACATACGACAATACGACACATACGACACCTTGTGAACCACCCAATAGATTTGCTTGAAAAATTGACTGTCGCACGGTGGTATTACGTGGTATGTAATCGAATCGCTGATTTAATCTTTAATAATTATTATTTATAATCAACCGCCTTATATATATATTGTAATATATTCACTGGTTCGTCGAAATGGAAAGGTAATACCATGATAAAAATATAGTAAGGTAGAACCGCTGAGAGTCACTTTTAAAATTCTTGGCGTTTCCAAACAATTTAATTTTTAAATTTACTCACAAACTCACACACACATTTTCATTTTCAATCTCAAGCAACAACAATTTCGAACAATTTCAATTTTTTATTTTCACTTTTATATGATTTTAAAATGTTGGCAAACTTCAATAAAAAATCATGGGCGACAAATTGAGAGAACGGTTCTACCTTGCTATGTTTTTATCATGGGTAATACAACTGTGAAACTAAACCAAGCATATTTTTTTTTTGTATTTAGGAATAGATTTGCAGATTTGAGCTAAAATTTTAATAATATTTACTAGTCACAATTATAAGGTATTTTTACCACTCCAATTCAATGTATGTAAATATTTAAGTTCATATTTGTTTGCGTTATTATAACCAAATTATTTAATTTATTTAGCTATTTGTGAAGAAACATTTTTTTAGCTATTTTGTTCGGCTATAAAAAATTTGTTAGCTATTTCTATCTATTTTTTTCGAAGAATTTAGCTATAAGCCTCAAAATTTTCTGGCAACACTGATGGCGACATTTTCCACTTTTTTCGCGTTTTTGTTTGACGCTCTCTTTTCTCGTCTCGTTCTCGCCGCCAAGCCATCGGATTCGTTTTTTATATTATATATTACAATTAATGATATTTGTTGTTTCTTTTAATAAAAAAATAGCATAAGTGCTTTAAATATGTAGCAAAATTCATTTTGGGGAAAGCGAAACCACAAATTCAGCTTACACATCGTTAGCGTTGGTGTGAAAACACGAAGGAAAAACTGCACAATGTGCACGTTTTGGCCGGCATTGCATTATGGTCTGATTATGGCAATTTAAAGTAATTTACAAGGCTCTCACACAAAAATTCAAATGGATGTTGCCTATAATTGAACTGCCGAAACTTAACGTAACTTAATGCCACGCCGAAATCTGTTTCATTTAGATTTTCTAAGTTCTAAGTTCCGTTAAGTTGCCTTAATCAGACTTTTAGGCTGCGTTTCACCAGATTAATTTAAGAAAACATTTTTTTTATTTAAAAATTTTTGGTTTCATCGATGAAACTTAATTTGTTTTTAATTTAATTAATGACCTATGCTCTTCACGTAAATAAAATGAATAACCACACTCAGAGATGTTACACAGTTAATCAATATACGCCCACCGCAATATTGTGTATCAGCTGTTTACTTGTAAAATAGCCCTGATTTTACTACCATATTTATATTCACTTAAATAAAGGGCTTATTGAAACTGAAGAAATTTAATTTAGAATCAAATAAAAATTTAAATTTAAATTAATTTCCAATTAAAGGAGTTTGTTCAAACGCAGCCTTAGAGTAAATTTTTCGAAAGTGTACAGTGCTTGTAAATGTATTTATGTATGCATAGATATACCTATATGTAAACAGGTTGGTATATATGTATGTACATATATGTTTATGAATATATGATGTATGTTCGTGTATAAATAATGTTATATTAGATACTACTTATAGAACTCTTCCCGCTATCACACATTGGTAGTCCTACCGATATTTTACCAATTATTGCATCCATGTAGCACTTACGAGCATGCGCACTCGACAACTCGCATATCAGTCCACGTTGAGATCTTTAGTTTTTCGCTGTTTTTTTCATCTAGGTGCAAAACTTCGAGTTCGACCAGCTTCGAGGGTGCACAACATGGACGCGGTGCACGCTCACGGTTTTGCTTCCAAATCAGGCTCTGCAACATGGCGTGATGGTGGGCGGGGTTGTAGCGCGGAGGACAGCGGCCGTGGCAGTAGCCAGCATCGAATACTTTCGGCTGTATTATGAATTCAAAGCCTTTGATTTCCTTGAACACCACTTCCATTGTGTGTCGACAGCAGCGTTTATTGCCCTTATGGCAGGTATGTTTATCTAGTGCAGCATTGGAGAGGTGTCGGCCATTTGACAGCGTTGCAACTTTATGATGATGGTAGAGTGTTGCCTCAGCGGAATTGGAATGTTTATTCGACCTCATCTCCTTGTACGTCACGCCCATACGACCGATGATGTTTAAAACCGGCATCAATTTCGCATCATCAGCATTGGCATCGTCAACGTTGGTAGACGACGTCATGTCGTTTAGTATGCGCGCACCAACTCGTTGACAAATGTCACATTGCACCTCGAGCCCAAGATTGGACTTTGGCTCGCGTAGCCATGCCTCCACAGCTTTGGTGACATCGAATTGCATCCACTGGCTATGTGTATCATCCGCACGACGGGAATCCACCTCGATATCCATTTTATGACCATCGAGCCAAAGGCGTTTGCCCTTCCCCAAACGCTGATACACCCTCAAATTTAGAATATGCTTCTGCTTTGTAGGCGTATCTGTGCTTGCTTGCGGCTTACCGCTTTTGGTGATATTTGTGCGGCAGGCGCGATACCTTGACTGTTTACTCGGCTTGGTAGACTTGACAGCTAATTCCGAGCTGTGGATTAGCATAAGTCGAATATTAGCCTCCTCCACGTCGCCGGGCTCCAATTGAGCAGCATTCTTTTCCAAGGCAAAACGCAGAACCATCTTAGTCTTGCCTTTTAGTCGTCGACGCCACTTTCCGTCTTTATTGCGTTGCATACGTGGTAATATAAAGTTATCGGTGAATGTTTCCTGATCGGTAGCGGCATCAGCGTCATATTCGTCCTCATCTGAGTCGTTCAGAATGTTGCGTTTTCTTCGCCAATACTGTTCGAATTCGGTGGCGTTCGGGGCGATGCTAACAATATGCAATGGAGCATTTTCCATTTGCCACTCGACAGGGTCCTCAATCGTATATGCCAATTCAGCTAGTTCACGTCGTTTTCGTTCGTGTACGCGCAACAAATACTCACGATACTTGGTCACATATTCTCGTTGGCTAACATTAACCTAAAACGACAAAAAAAACATTGCCATCAAAAGAGGCTACAAACCAAATAAATAACAACTTTATACTAACTAGCGATAGGTAAATTGATATTCGAATCTTCGAGATTCGGGTTATAATCGAATTTTAGCTTCAAATGGCGAATTTTTTAATCAAACTTTGTGGTGCTAAAGTTCGTATAAAATCGAAATTTTCTAGAGTGAATTAAAAATTTACAAGAATGTACTAATTTATTTTGTTATTATAAAGAAAGGAAAATAAATATAAGCACATTATACGTTCAAAAAAATTAGTTTAAATATGTGTACATTTTCTTAATTTTTTTAAATGATACTACTTCTGGTACTTACAAACATTAGACAGAATTTATAATACCATTTCAGGTTCATGAAAGGTATAAAAAATGATGGAAAAATCGTACGTTCGCAACCGGTACTTAAGCTTATAAATAAAAAACTAATAGAGATATTTCGACGCGCAATTAGTTAGGAGGAAGTACCTTTATTCCGCTTTAATATAAAACTAATCGCTTTATTTTCTTTACTTTCATTTTTCAATTTGCAGCCAAAAGCGACTTCCATTATTATTCGTACGTTCGCGAAGACATGTTTGTTGCTAACATTTTGAAAAATAAAAGTTTCTTGTATAGTTTCAGACGCGGGCTCGATCCCTGCTAAGTCTAGAAAAAAGAAGTCTGATGAGGAGATATGGTGATCTCCGAAATAGCTGCTATAACTTCTACCGCTTCAACTTTGTTGCTTTTTCCATTTTTTCTAATAAAAAACTCGTGGCACAAAGCTCAACAAAAATATTAAAATTAAATGTTAATAAGCCACAATAACATTGACAAATATATAGTTTAGGAAGAGTAGTGTTGTTCCGATACTGTCATGTACTCGATACCTTTACTCTTTAAAAATATCGAAGAAAAGTATCGATGCTACAAATGTATCGGAGAGAAGTACTCGATACTTACTCGTATCGAACTCATTACAGCATTCCGTAGAACTAATATAATAATTTCAGAAAATATTATAAATGCAAATTCAAAGGGCATGTGCATGTTTATACGCATCTGAATATATTTATTAAAAAAGTTTGATAAGTTTAATAAGAAAGTTGCGTTATCTGCCGCCGCGGCAATGCTACATCACGGGAAGAAAAAAATAAACACTTCGAGTACTTTCCGATCGAAACTTACCAAAAGAGCAGCCATAAGTATGATCGAGTACTTTCGGCCAAAACCTACCGAAAGAGTGGCCGTAAATCTTGTGAAAATTTCACTAGTACGAGAACGCAGTCTTGACAGTTTCTTCATTTCTGTATGCAATTTCAATTATTTAAGGCGTTTTCAGTCCGATTCTCCAACTTATTTTATTTGCTTCATACACCTTAAGGTTGGGTACAACTTAAGGTCTGAACTTGTTGCCAAAAATACTATGCACACTATGTCACAATCAAAGTTCTGAATAGGTGGAAAAGCATGTAAATACTCTAACCGCGTACTCGATACCCATCTAAGTACTTGTGGGAAAGATTGGAGTACAAAAAGTACTCAGTACTTGAAGAAAGTATCGAGTATTTACTCGTAGATACTTGTATCGGAACAACACTAAGGAAGAGCCTTCCTGAAACTATACAAGAAAGCAAATGCATGTATAGAATTGACACCAACAACGACGCTGTCAAGTTTAAATAGCGGCAATTGAGCTGCACTGATAGCAGTAGGTTGAATAAGGGAAATGAATTAGCAACACGAGTTTACGGAGTGTGGATAGCTCAATAGTTAACGCTTCTGACTTTGCACATCGATGACGCGGGTTCGATCCCTGCTAAGTCTGATGAGGAGATGTGGTGATCTCCGAAATAGCTGCTATAACTTCTACCGCTTCGACTTTGTTACTTTTTCCATTTTTTTCTTATAAAATAATCGTGGTACAAAGCTCAATAAACATATTAAAATTAAATGTTAATAAGCCACAATAACATTGACAAATATTCTTTTTTGTTCGTTTATATAAAGCAGTGGATAAAAATATACGTATATGCGAAAGGCAAATTTATCTGTTTAAATGAACACCACTAATATTTCCTGCAAACACACATCGATTAACATCATTTATCGACACAGAATTGTTTTCGTACAAAATTACGCAAAAAAGCTGTAAATTTCTTACTCGTTCATTTTAGGCATGTCATTGTTACGAATTTCGAAGTTTCGAAAATACGATTCGGATTGCAGCGTACTATATCTACGATTCGTAGCANATTTATCGACACAGAATTGTTTTCGTACAAAATTACGCAAAAAAGCTGTAAATTTCTTACTCGTTCATTTTAGGCATGTCATTGTTACGAATTTCGAAGTTTCGAAAATACGATTCGGATTGCAGCGTACTATATCTACGATTCGTAGCAAAATCCGGTTCGCGACCGTTGGAAATGCCCATATATATATACATACTTTATTTTAAGTCGTCCTGCTTTCCTGAAGTATGTACTGCATTAATATTAGCTGTGTTTTTTTACAAATTATCCAGTAACTTGCCAGCAACTCTCCAGTAACTTTATTTCTAAGAATTCGCTCTCATAGAAAAAATTTGCAATAAAGTACGCGAACGCTTTTCCAGTAATAATTTGCAACTTTTATGAACAGCTGATAAATTGGTTGTTTATTCGCAGCAAATTCCTAATAAAACAATATATTTTGTATTTAAATAGGTTTATTTTGTGAAATTCAACAATAAAAACCCATAAACAGTTTCCTTATTAGTTTAAATTTCATCCAGCAACATGCGATCAGCTGTTTTTCGTACTGGCAAATTCTTACAAGTCAAAATTTATCCAGTAAAATCCAGTAAAAACTTGCAACTTCAACTGTAATTTTTCGCTCTCTCAATTTCCCCTACTTTGCAAGTTTTTGCGTACGAAAACGCCAAAACATGAAAATTCGTAAAAACTTTTACTGGATTTTACTGGAAATGAGTAAAAAAACGCAACTATTATTTGTTCCAATTATTGTGCCTACAGCTGAACGATCATTTTCGAATTTAAAATTGACTCGTCAATTCCCAGTGTCACCTGTAGGGGACACCTCTAAAAACTTTTTTTCAGCTTAAGGAAAACGCTTTTTTTCCATTTTACCTCTGTTAACAATTAGTTAACAAATCAATGGAGTGTACATAATTTTCTTGCAATTGTAGTTGCAAGTCAGCTGTGAAATTTTTTACTTTTATCGCAAGCTGGAACTCGTCGTCTTTGAGTGCTTTTTATATCAGAAATTCAGCTTATGATGCCAAATTCGTAAATGATATGTCTAAATGGTAAATAATGTTGGCAAAACAAGATATGGAATATATTATAGATGTCATTTACATAATGAAAAGTTACCATGAAATTAAAAAAAAACAATGTTTTTCACTTATTTGTACAATTATGTAATGAATAAGTGAAAGGAATATCAGAATATTGCAGAATCCTTCAAATGGGAATTGACGGGTTAATAAAAACCTATTTGAGAAACTCTATGGGACAAGACAGGCTAAGTAACTTGGCTATTCTGTCTATTGAAAATTCTATGGCTCTATCTTTAAAAGTTGATGATGTATTAGATTCTTTATCAAAATTCAATTGTTGTTTTTTTTCTTAAAAAAATCATAGCTCGAAAATAACGAATTTTAGTTACTAGGCATTCAGTCGAAATGAAGTTTAAAATGTCTATTAAATAATAAAAAAGTTTTAAAAAATAAAAATACCCTTTTCGAGATATTGTATTTTAAAAATCTTTTTCCCTTTTTGTTTAATGTTGAATAATAAAAAAACAACAACTTATTTAGAACAGTTATAAACTTTTGTAGTCCAAACTGTTAAAAACATTTTAAAGTAAAAATTGTCCAAATCGGTCAATTTTTGGGCAAGTTATAGAGAATTGGAAAAAAAGTTTTCTCAAAAAACCGAAAAAATCGTTTTCACCCAAAAAACGAAATTGCCGATAAATCTCCATTTTTTCCCGCCAGAAGAAGAAATACGTGTCTCATTATTTTGACCAAGAATCAACATATTGAAGTTTTGTTGAATAATAAAATCATGTCCCGAGTGGACCGTTTGAATTGAAATGGAAAGCATCGTATGTATAAACCTATGTTATTGAAAGTAAAAATCTAATATTTAACAAAAATGCATACATTATGGTTAATAATGCTGGGTAACTACTTAAGTGGTTTATTAAAATTAAATTACAACGTGACGATTTTTACTGGGAGGGCCCCATCGAATGGATTTGCAACGGGTCTCAGATGGTACATACAGTTACTTAACCAATCGTTCGCATGTAGATTTTGTTTTAATATTCACAATGTTTTTCAAGTATAATTTTTTCTTTTTTTGTAACAATACATTTCATGCAATGATCATATATATAAAACTTTCAAAATTTAACCACCATTTAGAAAAATTAAACAAATTTCGATCAAAATTTTAAACCTTTTAATCTGAATTTTTGAAAAAATTGTGGTTATTCAGTTTCATAAAATTTTACTACAATAAAGTGGAAGTTTCAAGCGGCTAAAAATTCGCGTTGAACTTTAATTTTGCTTATGGAGAAAATGCTCAACTAGCACTGGTGTATAACTTGGTGTAAAATTGTGAATTTTGGTGCAATTAACCAAATTTATACCCAAAATTCGTAAATTTACACCGAGTTATATGCCCGTGTGCTACTTGAGCTTGCTTGAAAAAAAAATTAAAAATCAACGCCCGTTCTTATATATTGCATTTCGAGGGCTTATATTCAATACCCTCTATCTACAATTTTGATGAAAAAGAGTTTTTGATGGTAACGTGAGCTCTTATTTATCCTTCAGCCATGACAATAATGCCAAACTTAAAATTTTGCTTTTATGGTATTATATTCTCATTTTGAAAAATCCACTATCTGCAATAACATTTTGTTACAAAAGCAAAATCGTCTATCTACACAATTTTGCTGGAAAATCGTTTTCAT